TAGTAGTTTAAGTCCGTGAAAACTCGATGCACTTTATCAAGAAAATTGAAACGGACTGATTAGAGCCTGGGATATAATTATCGGATATTAAGGCATTCGCTTCTTTAGAGATACTTCGAAGCCTCGGAAACACAATCAGATAAAAATAATTATTAATATAGCACGTCAACTAAAATGAAATCAGCTCATACTTAACAATCTACAGACAATTAGCGTCTTTATTGATTCAAAGCTAGATTTTGATAACTTGTGATGCTGGTGCCCGATACTTTGTATTGATAATTAAGATTTGACTRGTTTTATACGTACTGCAGTGCTGTCCTTCAATCCCTGCTTTACAATGGCATACATAGTCTTGTCTGTTGTCTAGAAATGTGCAGTTGTAGCTTCCATTCAAATCACAGGGAACTTCTTGGCAAGGATTCTTGGAAAACACAACGGGATGGTCACATATGAAAGAAATGGTTGCATAAAAAAAGTCTGTTGAAATTTTGTGACGCTGCAATTTGCTATACATAATTTTTGGCTACATCTACTTTGTAAATTTAACAATAAAACTCCTTCTTTTAAGAATTTAATACTCAGTTTGAGATATTTGTTGAAAACATTTCTATGCCAATAACTGACTCCAAACGGCAAATGTTTTTTTTTGTTTTGTTTTTGTTTTGTGTGAATGACGTTTTTCTGTGATCTTACCTTTACGCTGTAGTGATCAAAGCTTGCATTCTGTTTAAGATTTTCTTTGCTGGTAAACTGTTCGGACGTAAGAAGCTCACATTCATGTCGGTCGCTGCTTTGTTGAGGCGTAGTATGGAAATTAAGCGAACGGCACCAATGAACTGCAATGCACTTAAACAAACAGTCAATATGGTCTTCAACTTGAACAGATTGCTGCATAGCGCTCGCAATGTTTTGTGGCATTGTGAGTTTCTGGTTCGGGAAGAAGTCAAAAACAAGACTCAAAGCACGATCATTTATCATTGAACAAGACGACTTGCAGATCATGAAAAGAACGAAAACTTGCGAAAGAGATGTTTGTTTCATAGTCGAAAATGAAGGAGAGATATGATTGTAGCTGAGTCGACAGCTGAGTCTAGTTTTTTGATCTCCGAAAGGAACTAAGCCAACAACAGTTGGAAGCTTCGTCTTCGTCTTAACCAAGTCCCTTGGCAAACATGCAAGGTGGACGTCTCCTTGTTTTCATTCATAGATAATAGCGACACGAGTTAACCGCTGAGAAACATAACTTAACAAACGAACTTTACACATTTTAATTACAATAGACATTTTATTAATCAAAAATCTGAATAACATGTTTTTAATCTATTTTATCAATTATTTTTGTTTTCTTTAATTATCGAAACTTGAATCTTAAAATAAGAATCAAACAGATTTATTTCTGATGAAATGTGTTGAAACTTTAAAGGTTTCTTTGCTCTGAAATTATCGTTCANTGATTTGCTCTTTGCGGATTGTAACAATCTGCCAATAGTCTCCTTCACGGTTACCTGCGCCATCTTGAAAGGTAGCCGTGCCTTTGCATCGAATCGAGACAACCGTTGAGTGTGCAATGATAGAAGCCTTCTTTCACACCTACAGACAATTATTCACAGGTTTCTATCATTGCACGCTCAACGGTTGTCTCGCTTCAATGTAAAGGCACGGCTATCTTTCAAGATGGCGCAGGTAACCGTGAAGAAGACTATTCACGTTAACATCAAAACACTTATTGGAGATTGGGACAGTTGCCAGACGCATTTATTTTTTAAGGAAAGGAACTCATAAACTATGATCAATTGGGCTACCTGTGCATGACGTCCGTCCATCACCAGAATATCCTACTTTACACCGACATGTGAATGAGCCGCCGGTATTTGTACAGCGTGCATTAGCATGGCAATTATGCGCACCAGATGTGCATTCATCGATGTCTWAAAAGCAAAYGAATGAATAAAAATAAGAAGAATTAAAATTATTATAATAGACAAATGGTTGATAGAACCAAAATCAGTGATTCATGTATTAAAAGATTAGAATGGAATCTATCGCCGGCCCGTTTTAAAGTGTATATACGAGTTATAAAGAAAAAGGACCGTTTCTGGAAATGTCAGTATTAGATGAAAATCAGGCGGGGTTAAACGAGAGATAGATCTGGGCCGTCAAGAATTTCTAAGAAAACTTTTGGAAAGAACTGCTAGAGTTTGAATGATTATTGTCATTGTAGGAATGCATTTTGGCTCAGAAAACGATTGTACCAAAATAATACCTAAGCACGTGTTGCCATTTCCTTGGAAGCCTGATTTGCACTTGCACGTATACGAGCCCACGTTGTTAGTACAGAGTGCATTAGCATGGCAATTATGCGCTCCTGATGTACATTCATCAATATCTATAGAGTTAAAAAAAACAAGAAAATTTTAGTGCTTCTATTTCTTATTCAATTTCTAATTTTGGCATTTCACAGATCGCTAAAAAATGTACCTGAGCACGTGACTCCACTTCCTTGGTAACCTGATTTGCACTTGCAAGTATACGAGCCMACGTTGTTAGTACAGCGTGCATTAGCATGGCAATTATGCGTTCTTAATTGACATTCATCAATATCTATAGAGATGAAAAACAAGAAAATGTTAATGCTTTTATTTGTGCAATTTTTAATTTTGACATTTCGAAGATCGCTAAAAAATGTACCTGAGCACGTGACTCCATTTCCTTGGAAGCCTGATTTGCACTTGCAAGTATACGAGCCCACGTTGTTAGTACAGCGTGCATTAGCATGGCAATCATGCGCACCAGATGAGCATTCATCAATATCTGCAAATAATAAATGAGTAAATAAAAAACAGAGCAAAACAGAGAAAGCAAAACAATGATTCCTTGCTTTTTATTTCATACTAACATGAGAGAGAGCAACAATGAAGTACCTGAGCACGAACGGCCGTTTCCTTGGTAACCTGTTTTACATTGACAGGTGTACGAGCCCACGTTGTTAGTACAGCGTGCGTTAACATGGCAATTATGCGTTCTCAACTTGCATTCGTCGATGTCTAAAAGAAGAATGAGCACAAGGTATACTACAATGTTATGCCACTGGCAAGTTTAGCTGCAAATATTTCAGACATGATAGATTCCTTCATTTTTGAATACAGGTTATTAGGGACTGCGAAACTACTTATATCAGGAGAGGGGGCTGAGAAATGAGCAAAAATATCAAAAAAATCAATCAATCCCCCCCCCTCGTGAAATAAATTACGCTCTGCCCCCCCCCCCCCCCCCCGTGAATTTATTATTTTTTATTCCTGAATGAAGAGTTATCGCAAATCGTGGCACGCTTTTCTTGAGAAGTTAATCTGACACCGTTAAAATTGTAGTTAATTTTAGACGTTGACCCCCCTCTTTAAGCACATAAAATTAGATGTTGCCCCCCCATCCCCCCCTCCTGATAAATATTGCGGAGTCCCCTAAAGTATGTGACTGCGGTTACATCATGACCGGATTTCCTTTATTAAYAATAAATAATATCGTCATGACGTACCATTTTCACAATTCTTCCCTGTGAAACCAGTCTTGCACTTGCATTGATAGTCTTGTCTGTCGTCATCAATGCTGCATTCGCCGCCATTTTGACACGGCTTTCTCTCGCAAGGATTCTGAAGAAAAGATATCAGTTGATTGTTTTTAATTAAAACTAAAAACCATTTCCTTTTGCTAAAGTCGCGCATGCGTAGGAAACACRATATTCGGGTACGATGAAAGCTGAACATCGAATTTGAGCTGTTTTTGAACATATACCTCTTAATGGAGTTTCAAATAAGTATTTGTGAGGAWTTTTTTATCGATACAGCATTGTCGCTCATCGTGCGCTGGTGATTTTGAGAAAATCGCGTCACCTACGCAAGCGAAAATAAAAATCGCTCGTGTAGCCGCAGTTTAAAATGTTTGAATTGACATAGCTGTTATGTGTTCAGATAAGATTGTTAGAACCATAATGAGAGAAAACCTATAYATCACACCTGCGAAAGCTCGATCGATACATTAAGTAAGAAAAGTAAAGGTAGAAAGTGCAATTTTGTCCGGTCATCTGAGTGCAATAGTTTGCTAATATAAGAATTTCACGAAAAAAGGGTTGAAAAAAATCGCGACTTTTGACTTGCGAATTCTTCACAGAGATTGCATTTTTACAGTTTTGTTACCACAAACCCGTGAAATTGGACTTTCCGAAATTCAAGACAATGGTACCGAGTTAGAATCTCGATGCCACCTTTTGAAGCACCGACTTGAAGCACTTGTATCTTAATAATACGTCTTAATAGTTATTACCTTTATTTTGTTATTATCTTTATATTACTATTATATGATATGTTTTTGGATAGACCTAATCGGCTAACGGCGTTGCTATGTACGTTGCCACACAATTCAAATCCTGTGGGGAAAAGAACTTTTGTTTCTAAGAATTCAACTGTGAAATGAAAATACAACGAACAATGAAACTTACTCCCGGGTGGTTTGAATTGGGTTGAAGCCGATTAGGTCTATAGCAAGCGGCTATATAGATCCTATTGATAGGGTGTCCCAGTTAATTCTCAGGCTTAATTGGATCCTGTAATACTTAAACTAACCTTAACACTGTAGTGATCAACACCCGCATTCTGTGTAAGGTTTCCTTTGCTGGTAAACTGATCGGAAGAAATAAGCTCACAAACATGTCGACCACTGTTTTTCAAGGGCGTAGTTCTGAAGTTCACCGAACGRCACCAGTGTGTTGCAATACACTCAAAAATACAATCTGTTTTGTCATCTACTTGGATTGACTGCTGCTTCGCACCTTTCATGTCTTGTGATAAAATGAGCTCTTGCTTTTGAAAATAGTCAAAAACAAGGCTCAAAGCTCGATTAGAGGTACCAAGGCTTGTASCTGTGCAATGATAAGCTATGTTCACCAAGCCAAACGTCAAGAGAAAGTACTGGTGTGTCCGCTCCGACCGCATGGCTGCCTCACATGAAATRAATATTATTATTTCTTATACAATATTAGATATAATGCTCATTTAAAGTTCTTCCTGTTCCCCCMAAAAGCAAACAAAACTAAAAAAAAAAATTCAAAAAAAAGTCATTGTCGCGAATGGTCACGTATGAGCTAGCCTATTGCACGATACTAGCAGGTATATATGTAAATAATACGTCACACAACTACGTCATATTGTTGTTGCATGTTGAAATGAACTCAAATAATAAATATATAGTAGTGTAGCCACCAGTAATGAAGTGACTAGAAACGCTAAAAGCTTTTAAAAATCATTATGCAAAGACATGACGGGAAGTTCTAAAGTACCTGTTTTACACTTAAATAACATCATTGTTTTATATACATATAAAAAAATGCTTGGAAATATACCTCCGGCATTGCTTGATTTTCAATAAATCGTGGGATCAGTTTCTAGAGAAAACAAAGAATCCGCCATGTTTTATTACAAACAATTCGTACAATGCATTGCGTATACAGGTATATGAAGCTTTATTTTGAAAGTCCGCATTTGTCGGGATCGACTAAAACCAGGACGGGGACGTGGGACGTGGGACGCGGGACTGGGACGCGGGATATGGACGTATAGATTTTGAAACCTACAATGTACTACGACGAAAAAATCCTTGTTTTGTTTTGTTAAATTGAAAATAACATACATTTTTATTGATCCAAGAGTTCTGTTGTCAGGATATAAAGCAGTCATGTGAGTATTTATCGGTTTATTTTCAATTTAACAAAACAAAACAAGGATTTTTTCGTCGTAGTACATTGTATTTCAAAATCTATACGTCCATATCCCGCGTCCCAGTCCCGCGTCCCACGTCCCACGTCCCCGTCCCGGTTTTAGGCGATCCCGCATTTGTCTGTGTATAGCAAAAAGCTTGAATCTCTATTTTCACTGCCAATGAAAAAATTCATTGCTCCAAAATGGACGACGCTTATAAGCATAATTAGATTCTTTTTTGTCTTCTTTGACAGAATGGGCCCTGAAATTTCTGAAAAGCTGAAGTCTGCGTGATATTTTACAGAGAAATGTATACAGGCGGTTATACAAACATGGAATTTGTATGTGATCATAAAAAAAAGAAAAAAAAGAAAAGAAAAGAAAAATACACATATACTGTTTTTAAATGAAAATTATCAGGATGATACTCTGCTTCAAGGAAGTTATATTTTTTACCATTTTCATATCAATAAAAATGAGGCAAAATGGCGGCATTGTAAGGTCTTTTCGAAAAAAAACAAAAATATAAAAAAAAAAATTATAATCCTATATTATTTAGATACATCTATCAATTACTTTTCTGGGATACCGGGGGTCTGCATAACATGATTATAAAGTTGCATGTTTTAAGATGATGTAATGTGGTGCAATAGTATTATTGGGTTCCCTGTGTTACAACTGTGTCAGCGGTAGTCGTAGCGCATGCTCAGAACCATGCAAGCACGTGCGGGTTTTCTCTGAAATAATCAAAATATTTTTAACTAAGTTAGCTATTTCTCCGCAATATTGGTACTTATAACACAGAGAAAACCTTCATCGTTCTCTTAATTTTATCTTTTAATCGTTTGTAAATTGTAAATAGCTGTAGCAATGGGGGTACCGAAGTTTTATCGCTGGGTAAGCGAGAGATACCCTTGTTTGAGTCAAGTTGTTAAAGAACAYCAGGTAAGTCAGTTATCAAAATAATTTGAGTTTTAAAAGCTAACAGCGTTGGTAGAGGTCATTTTCGTTATTGGAAATGAACTTCTCTTAAAGATTAAACCTCAATATTTGAATAATTGAGGAGATTAACGTGTTTAGCTTATGCAATACTAAAGTGTGACATGTTTTTGTAGAGAGTAGCTTGCCAATGCTTTGCCTAGGTTTCGTTCTATCATCGGGTAGAATGTTTTTTGTTGAGGTTCAAGTTAATGTATATGTTTTAAAGGAGATATGTACAGCAATTTGCTAGCCAAGAGCTTTCGTTTACTGCCAAATAACTTTGTATACACGCTTGCACTAAAGAAAGCAATAAAAATGCAGGCTTGCAAAGTTGCAAGCAAGAGTTCATGACATTAGAAGGGAAGAGATGTCAAAGTGAAAGTGAAAAAGAAATAGTTGAGTGACAGGATCACTTTTACACTGTGTAAGCCTCAATTGTGTGTAAAATATGTACAAATTTTTACAAAACTATCTTCATTGWCTTCTAAACTCATGCAGATGTCTTGAACTTGTACAGCTTGTTTCTGAATAATATAATATTTTGTATGGTTTTGAGGCTAACAAAGTGTGAAGTAATTAGTAAAAAGGTTTATTGAACATCGAATGAATTTACTGTGATAAATTGTAATAAATTATCAACTTACTAACACTGGCCCTCCGTCTTTTTGTTGTTGTTTAATTAACAACAATAACAATAAAAAAAAGAATATTAAATTCTTGTTGTTTTGTCTTTTTGTTGTGTTGTAATACTGGCCCAATGCATGTCTACATCACTATATTGTGGATAAGTGTTACGTATTAATCCTTATTTTGCATCATTTTTTTTGTATTAGATCCCAGAGTTTGACAACATGTATCTAGACATGAATGGAATAATCCACCCCTGCTCACATCCAAAYGACGACGACCCTCATTTTAGAATCACAGAGGAACAGATTTTTAGAAATATTTTCCATTACATCGAGGTGCAGTATAATGATATTTTTATCATTTTGTTGAAAATCTGAAGTGGTATAATGCAAATACTTAGGGCTGGTTCATACTGTGACATACACATTAAACATATTCAGAAGCATAAGGTTATTGCTGTGCTTATGTCGATGCACACATGACGTCATGCCTTTGTCTTTTCTTTTGTTCTCAGCTTCTCCTTCTGTTATTGCAATAGTCTCCTTCACGGTTACGTGTGCCATCTTGAAAGGTAGCCGTGCCTTTGCATCGAAGCGAGACAACCGTTGAGCGTGCAATGATAGATACCTGTGAATAAATTGTCTGTAGGTGTGAAAAAAGGTTTCTATCATTGCACGCTCAACGTTCGTCTCGCTTCGATGCAAAGGCACGGCTACCTTTCAAGATGGCGCAGGGAACCGTGAAGAAGACTATTTGTCTGAAAAACTTTAGTAACAATTAAGTGTGCTTAATTGCACTGGATTTTGCAAATTCTTTTGATTTCTATAGTCTAATCTACTTTATATTGTGCTACATGTATTAGVTCTTTTTGGTTAGTAATTCTTTATGCTTTTAATAATTTTTAGATTTGCATTCTTCTAACAACAAATAATCAGAGATATCAACTGGTCACAGAAATGTTAAATGTTACTTTTTGTTTTAGTAGATTTATTGATTGATAATGATATTCATCATATGATACATTTTTCTTACAGATTTTATTTCAAATTATTAAACCAAAGAAAGTTTTCTTCATGGCTGTTGATGGTGTGGCACCTCGAGCCAAAATGAATCAACAAAGAGGGCGAAGATTCAGGTAATTTGTTATTGAATAGGAATTTCAATCGTAATTTGAATCCTCTCTATAAAATGGAACTTTCCAATGTGGTCATTTACAGCAGAAATCGTTGCATCGCGACCTCTTTGTTTTGAAGTTTGTCTRGATTTTGTTCTTTCTGTCAATCTGAGGGGYGGAGCTTTTCGAAAACTCGTTCAATCATTGGCTGATTAGTATCAAGCTCCGCCCCCARGTCGCAGAAAAACCTAAATCCCAAGTATTTCCTTCGAACATTGAAGTCGCGATGCAACGGTTTCTGCTGTAAYAGASGCCGGTTAATGAGTTGGGGTTCAGTAAAGGAAAAGAAAAGGAAAAGGTGGTGGCTGCTAATAATCCTACATTGCAGCATGGGTAYTGAATTTTGAAKSATGCAGCTCGATGCACTATCAAGTCAAGGTGCTATTTTGGAGACACATTTTACATGTTACACTTACACATAGGCGTGCTGCSGGTRCTTCCTTTACATAGCAAGTTAACATAGACTGCATGATCGCGGAGCACAGTGGATAGAAATGGTTTGTCTTTACTAAGGGAGGAAAAACTGGAAAAAGGCCACAGAAAAACTCTCAAAGCAAGGGAGAGAATGTCAGAAACTAATATCACATGACATCTCGGCTGAGATTCGGACAGGATCCACAGAGACCACACTCTCAAAATGCATTCACCCTTGCTTCCCTTTAACTAGCTCAGAATTCAGACCTGTAAGAGTTAACGGTATCCACTTAATTTTTGCCAGATCTGCRAAAGAAGCAGAGGATAACATCCGTAGGGCGATAGAAAAAGGACAAGTTTTACCGAAAGAAGAAAGGTTTGACTCAAACTGTATCACTCCAGGTGAATAATACATGTAACATCTTACGTTTGACTCTTTAAAGCCACAAAATCAGATATTTTTGTACTACATTGAGTAAAGCACCATCGATTATCAAGTACACAAAATGGCTAGTTTCAAATATGGAGTGGCCAATAAGTTTTCTACAGCCCCCCCAATAATTTTGACCGACATTTTGAATTTTCTAAAATAAAGATTGTGTTAAAACTGAGCGTGAACAATTAAAATTGAAGCTCTTCATTTTTACGAATTCTTTGGGATTTTATTGATAATATCACTGACCGCGTGTGCGGTAAAAATGTCTTGGATAACGCATGACATTTCCGAGAGAAGGAACCCAATAGTTAAGATTTCAAAAATTTCCGAACCCCCTAGTATCTCGTCGTCGCAAGCCCCCCCAAACAAATTCACGCTCCGCGGTCCCTGGTTTTTAAAGTAAAGAGCGAGTGGGTGGTAATTGATTTGAATCTGGTACATAATAACTGTGCATATGACTGTACTACTATCAATTTACTCAAAAACTGGTCATCACATAGTACAAAAAAAAAACACACAAAAAAAAACACACAAACCTAACGCAAAGTTTTGAGCAAAAGTTTAACTGCCAAACTGGATGGCAAAATACTCTCTGGGATGTTCAAAACAAAGAAAAGTCAAGCTTGACAGACTACCTTCCTTTTGTTTTTGAAGGTTGTTTCCATTCTTTTGCCATTCAGTATAGCAGATTTTGTACCTTGTGAACATTTCATGCAAAAGGCTGTTTGGAGCAATTAAATTTTCACAGATACAGTATTATAAATTAAAACTACTATACTGAGATTCATGAATGTGTACTAGGTACTGGCTTTATGACAAGATTACAAGAACAGCTGAAATACTTCGTCAATGAGAAAATTACAAATGATCCTGCTTGGCGTGGACTAAGAGTGTATCTATCAGGGCATCAGGTAAGAGACTATACACTGTACATACTGCTTGGAATTAATAACAAACAAAAAATATTAATTTTGATAATATTGTATGTTTTATAATTGTATTTCGTCAATATTCATTTCCATGTTTTGATGTCCAGACACCTGGAGAGGGAGAACACAAGATCATGGAGTTTATCCGCACGGAAAGATCGCAACCAGGATATGATCCTAACACTAGACACTGTCTTTATGGTCTTGACGCTGATCTGGTAATTATTGACAAGACATGAAACATTGTGCCATCCAACATCAAAGATTATTGGATTGTTAAATGACATATAATGTCAGAATTAGTCTCATGATTGGTGTCTTAGACTTACCACCATTTTTTAGAGTCATGTACACATAGCTTGATGTGGATTCCTTCTGTCTTTCTCTGCCAGATTATGTTAGGACTGTCGTCACATGACCCTCACTTCTCATTACTCCGAGAAGAAGTAAAATTTGGAAAAACCACAAAGAGGCAAGTTGCATTCTACATGTACATGACTGTATAGAGAAGATATTATATGGGCACTCGGAGATACAGAATTTATCTTCTAGTGTTCCATTGATATCTCACAAGTGAACAAATAGAACAAGCTCCCATGTAATGTTCTGTTTATTATTATTTAAAATTGATTATTAATATAAACTCAAACTTATATCTATAAGGAAAGAAATGAAATACAATTTTGCACGGATCATCCATGGTAATGTTTTTTTTTTTGTTTTTTTCCCCCATGTGTGGAATATATCCATTTTTGTCACTAAAGATTTCCCGTTATTTCATTGAAGTCTATATTTAGCTATAAATTGTTATTAATGGCCTAAACTATTATGTCTGTATTTCAAAAATATTGATTGTAATATTGTCCTGTTTTGACTTTTTTTATAGAATTGAAAAACCAGAGAATATTACCTTCCATTTGTTGCATTTGTCGCTATTCAGAGAGTACATTGATTGGGAATTTCATCGCCTTAAGGTAGTACATAAAGGGAAACATCCTATCAAGAGTACAACTTTTACTGCAAACACATTCTTACACACAAATCCTTCTCAATTTGTCAGGTTTTTTTTAGCTTCATTCAGCTCAGTAGCCAATCAGGACGCTTTATTTGTGATAGACCATAGTTTGGTGGATAGTAAGGAGTCTTTTTTGTGTTTTCAGAGCACGCTTAGTTTTCCATATGACTTGGAGAGAGTCATTGATGATTGGATATTGATGGGGTTCCTGGTCGGTAATGATTTTATTCCACATCTACCACATATGCATATCAAACAAGTAAGTGAGCCWGTATKTCTGTATTATAYCCCCTTATAGGTAGGGGGCATCATGACCTGTAGTCGAGCCTTGGCCACACTACTGGAAACTCTTAGTCAAATACTGTAGTAGTGTGGGTTCTTTTACATCCCTTGTCAAGACATGGACCCCCTGATTAATATCCTTTTCTGAATTGAAGCACTGAGAGATTATGGTACTCTTTGGCTGAGTGGGAGGGCCATACGGGAAAATACTTGGCTCGAGGTTATGTCGTACGGAACGAGTGCAGAGATGTCCGTACAAATGACCGAGAGCCAAATATTTTCCCGTAAGGCCCGACCTAACTCAGTCAATAAGCATTTTATCATATGACAGTGTTTTTTAATGTAAAAAAAATAAATAAAAGCGCACGGAACTTCAAGCCGGGAAGAAGTGATTTGAAAGAAGAAGAAGGGTTTGAAGCGTTTGTACTGCCCTGTCTCGAAAAGGTGTACGGCCCCCATCACGTGACCATTTCGCAAAGGTTTTTTAAGTAATGCCCCGAGTAAGAACTAGGGAAGCAAACGGCACAGGAATGCAAGAAGGTGCTAATTGCGCATTGTATAATCCATCCATCCCATTGGTTAAAACATGAAAATATGCACAAAATTTCACAAGTTTCACAATTTTATTTCAAAAATGTGTTACCCACAGATGGATACATAATCAGTGTGAAAACCAAGACATTCGTACATGGGGAACTTGCTATACCGCAGAACAATAGAGAGTTCCCTAGTTCTTTAGCGCATTGTTACTTAAGAGTGGGAGCGGGCATAGGGCCCAAATACGGATCATATGATAATAAAGTGTCTTGCCTCAGGGCACAATGTGATGGGCTATTCTGTGTATCAATCCTATGCCTGTAGACCCAAAGTTCAATTATCACAACTAGATCTCTGCCCTTCTTTGATTTCGTAAATATAATTCTATAAAATCACTTGTACAGTNAAAAGAATTGCAGACGAGGCTCCGGGGAAATAAAGAATAAAACGATATTATACGATCTTGGATTGGTCATTTTGAAGCGTGCACTTCAAAATAACTCTTAACAATATTAAAAAAAATAAAATTATGAATGGATAATCTTGATTTATTCTTTATTTCCCCGGAGCCTCGTCTGCAATTCTTTTGTGCATGGTCACTGAACCAAAATATCTAAACTCGGCTATTCAGACCTGTAAGAGTTAACGGTATCCACTTAATTTTTGCCAGATCTGCAAAAGAAGCAGAGGATAACATCCGTAGGGCGATAGAAAAAGGACAAGTTTTACCGAAAGAAGAAAGGTTCGACTCGAACTGTATCACTCCAGGTGAATAATACTTGTAACATCTTAAGTTTGACTCTTTAAAGCCACAAAATCAGATATTTTTGTACTACATTGAGTAAAGCAACATCGATTATCAAGTACACAAAATGGTTAGTTTCAAATATGGAGTGGCCAATAAGTTTTCATGGACCGTGGAGCAGTCCAATAATTTTGACCGACATTTTGAATTTTCTAAAATAAAGATTATGTTAATTAAAACTTTTTAAAACTGAGCGTGAACAATTAAAATTGAAGCTCTTAATTTTTACGAATTCTTTGGGATTTTATTGACGATAATATCGCTGACCGTGTGTGCGGTAAAAATGTCTTGGATAACGCATGACATTTCCAAGAGAAGGAGCCCATTAGTTAAGATTTCAAAAATTTACAAACCACCTAGTACCTCGTCACCGCTAGCCCCCCCAAACAAATTCACACTCCGCGGTCCCTGGTTTTTAAAGTAAAGAGCGAGTGGGTGGTAATTGATTTGAATCTGGTACGTAATAACTGTGCATATGACTGTACTACTATCAATTTACTCAAAAACTGGTCATCACATAGTACAAAAAAAAAAAAAAACACAAAAAAACACACAAACCTAACGCAAAGTTTTGAGCAAAGGTTTAACTGCCATACCTGATGGCAAAATACCCTCTGGGATGTTCAAAACAAAGTTCAAAGTCAAGCTTGACAGACTACCTTCCTTTTGTTTTTGAGGTTGTTTACATTCTTTTGGCATTCAGTATGGCGGATTTGTACCTTGTGAACATTTCATGCAAAAGGCTATTTGGAGCAATTAAATTTTCACAGATACAGTATTATAATTAAAACTACTATACTGAGATGCATGAATGTGTACTACGTAGGTACTGGCTTTATGACAAGATTGCAAGAACAGCTGAAATACTTCGTCAATGAGAAAATTACAAATGATCCTGCTTGGCGTGGACTAAGAGTATATCTATCAGGGCATCAGGTAAGAGACTATACACTGTACATACTGCTTGGAATTAAAGGGACACTGTCAATGGATGACATGCGCAGTAACAGTCTCACCTCTAACGGACTTTGAAAGTATAACATTTGAAGTAAATCATTCTGCTTTTGACACACTTTGGAATATTCTAGATCTGTTTACGTTTACGATCTGATTTATGTCGCGCCAACTTGGAGTCATCAACTTGAAAACACTAGCCTAGTGTTTTCAAGTTTACTCGCGCATGTCATCCATTGACAGTGTCCCTTTAATAACAAACAAAAAATATTAATTTTGATAATATTGTATGTTTTATTGTATTTCGTCAATATTCATTTCAATGTTTTGATGTGTTTTTTATAGACACCTGGAGAGGGAGAACACAAGATCATGGAGTTTATCCGCACAGAAAGATCGCAGCCAGGATATGATCCCAATACTAGACACTGTCTTTATGGTCTTGACGCTGATCTGGTAATTATTGACAAGACATGAAATATTGTGCCATCCAACATCAAAGATTATTGGATTGTCAAATGACATATAATAGAAAGCTTGAGCATGACTTTCACGGCAAACAGCAGAAAAGATCACTTCACCTGCTTTTTGGGGGTTTACCGTTACAGTTTCAATGCAAGAGTGGGTTATTTTAGGGTTGCCATAATCGTGAAAAGTCACTCTTTCAACTGACTAATAATTTAAGTACAAGGTCAGGCACAAGATTCTTAGGTCATACGTGTATGTTCAGCTCTGCCGTTAGCTGTTTGCTGTAAATGCTTAAACTCAGCATCATTCCCGATCGGTGTCTTTGACTTACCACCATTTTTGAAAGTCGTGTACAGATAATATACCTTGATGAGGATTTCTTCTGTCTTTCTCTGCCAGATTATGTTAGGACTATCGTCACATGACCCTCATTTCTCATTACTTCGAGAAGAAGTAAAATTTGGAAAAACCACAAAGAGGCAAGTTGCATTCTACATGTACATGACTGTATAGAGAAGATATTACATGGAAGCCTGGAGATACAGATTTTATCTTCTAGTATTCCATTGATATCTCAAAGTATTTCCTTGATATCTCGCAAGTGAACAAAAAGAACAAGCTCCCATGTAATGTTCTGTTTATTATTATTTAAAATTGATTATTAATATAAACTCAAACTTATATCTATAAGGAAAGAAATAATACAATTTTGCACGGATCATTCATGGTAATGTGTTTTTTTTCACGTGTGGAATATATCCCTTTTTCTCTAAAGATTTCCTGTTGTTTCCTTGAAGTTTATATTTACAATAAATTGTTATATGGTCTAATCTGTTTATGTCTGTTTTTCAAAAATATTGATTGTAATATTGTCCTGTTTTGACATTTTTTATAGAATTGAAAAACCAGAGAATATAACCTTCCATTTGTTGCATTTGTCGCTATTCAGAGAGTACATTGATTGGGAATTTCATCGCCTTAAGGTAGTACATAAAGAGAAACACCCTATCAAGAGTACAACTTTTACTGCAAACACATTCTTGCACACAGATCCTTCTCAATTTCTCAGTTTTTTTTAGCTTCATTCAGTGTGAACATAGTCTATTATGAGTAGTCCATAGCTCAGTAGCCAATCAGGACGCTTTATTTGTGATAGACCATAGTTTGGTGGATTATGTAAGGAGTCTTTTTTGTGCTTTCAGAGCACCCTTAGTTTTCCATATGACTTGGAGAGAGTCATCGATGATTGGATATTGATGGGGTTCCTGGTCGGTAATGATTTTATTCCACATCTACCACATATGCATATCAAACAAGTAAGTGAGCCTGTATTTCTGTATTATATCCCCTTATAGGTAGGGGGCATCATGACCTGTAGTCGAGCCTTGGCCACACTACTGGAAACTCTTAGTCAAATACTGTAGTAGTGTGGGTTCTTTTACATCCCTTGTCAAGACATGGACCCCCTGATTAATATCCTTTTCTGAATTGAAGCACTAAGAGATTATGTACTCATTGGCTGAGTGGGAGGGCCGTACGGGAAAATATTTGGCTCTAGGCTATGTCTTACGAAACGAGCAGAGCGAGGTCCGTACAAATGACCAAGGGCCAAATATTTTCCCGTACGGCCCGACCTAACTCAGTCAATAAGCATTTTATCATATGACAGCGTTTTTTAATGTAAAAATAAAAAATAAATAAAAGCGCTCGGAACTTCAAGCCGGGAAGAAGAAGGGTTTGAAGGGTTTGTACGGCCCTGTCGCGAAAAGGTGTACGGCCCCCATCACGTGACTATTTTGCAAAAGGTTTTTTAAGAGAGGGCATAGGGCCCAAATACGGGCCATATGATGATAAAGTGTCTTGCCTCAGGGCACAATGTGATCGGCCATTCTGGGTATCAATCCCATGTCTGTAGACCCAAAGTTTAATTATCACAACTAGATCTCTGCCCTTCTTTGATTTMGTAAATATAATTCTATAAAATCACTTNCTACATGTAGAACACAAAAATACATTGATATTACAGGTATTACAACTTAGGCTCTTGTAATTGGACACACTTGGAAAACATAAAATGTGTCTGTTCATGTAGACATTTGAGAAGTGTGAATGCTTGTATGAAAGGGAAAAAAATATGGTGTTATAGAATTACAAGCAGTCCTTAAATAAAGCTGTCTGCACTAACAAAGGTGTTGGAAAATGGTGCTTCTACCATAATATTAAATTTTGGAATAAATTAAATACTGTCTGATGAGTGCGTAGCACGAAACTTGGAGTTACAGCAAAATCTTGCCTCTTTGATATCATATATATAACTAGCTCTACACTTTTTATGTGTATTGAGCACTCTTTAATGGGATCAGCCACTTCCTCATAAGATTAAATTTTGGAATATAGATATTATACACCCTTTTAATAAGTCCCGAGGTATTGAATTCTCTGCACTTGACGTCAAATTTATTCTTTTGAAATTTTTACAATAAAAAAGGAATTCAAAAGAATAAATTTGATGTCATGTGCGGAGAATACAATACCTCGGGACTTATTAAAAGGGTGTATGACAAGCTACACTATCAATATAAAGTGGTTGGCATAATTCACTGACTGCATAGTATTTATAGTGTAATTATGACTTTGACCTACTTTAAGCCTAGCTTTTTGATACATGTACATGTTTTATATTACAGGTTATTTACATGATGGTGGGGTTTTGAACTTGGAGCGGTTTGAAAAATATCTGACGGCACTATCAAAGGTAAGAATCAGACATGATTTAAACAAAACACCTTAATTAATGAAAAGATCTTGCGAAAAATATATTTTTTGCTATAAAATGAACATTGCAAGTAGATAAAAAGGCTTTGTTGAGTTTCCAGATATCATTTCCTGACTAAAATCTCTTTTTTTTTTTGCTAACTGCAGCTTGACAGAGAAAAGTTTGATGAAGTGTTTGTTGATATGAAGTGGTTTGAGGCTAAAACAAAGCATGGTTTTGATAAGAAACCAGGAAAATCAAGAAAAAAAGTAAGTTACAGCAATTTAATTGAAATGTAGCACAGATACAATCCCTGTTAGTCATTGTTTTCACTGACTGGGGAACTTGAGGAACAGGACATGAAAACAAGGCTTAATAGACTAGTCTTGTTTATTAGAAAACATGATATCTTGCTTGATGAGCGTTTTGACATAAAATAACATGTTTCTATACTTCTCTATTTTTCACACAACCAAGCGTTCAATTTGGTTGAGGCYAGTTGCATTAAGGGTGAATGCTATCTACTTCAGTGCAGTTAAAATCATGTGCAAAAACTAAGGAACAGATGACTTATAAAAACTGGTTGATAACTTTATCAACTCTTCATACAAACAWCACCTGGTGTATTTGTGTTGAWGTTAGGAYTTTCGAGCCTTCTTTTCATGTTTYTCTAKTAGAACCAAGTAGCGGTGACATCCTTCCATTTTGGAATGTTGTCAACAGGTGCATTTTTAGTAGTTAATTTAAACAATTATGCCTACACAATAAACATCAAGAGCATCATAGTCCACCGCACGTTAAATGAACTGATCGTAATTGCATGCGCAATGCATGGATCACGGAAATCGAGAAGCTGGAAAGCACTTTAAAATCGAAGAAAGCTGTGTTCGCAGGTGGTGATCACAAAGAGAAAAGTTTATTTTCCGTCTAACGTTTTCCTCAAAAACGTTCCCAAAACTCGGGGTGCGGCTTATCTACGAGAGCGGCTTATACATGAGTAAATACGGTATATAAACTGTAGCTAGACAAGTTAAATCAAGCAGTAATGTAAGAAGTTGTTTTTCTTTTAGGGAAAAAAAACCAGAGATGAGGAAACAAACCCTTTTGCAGCTCTGGAGTCTTTGTCAGGAAAACTTGACGAAGCTAAGCTTGATGATGATGATGAGCTTAGCCCTGAGCTTGCAAAACTTGCAGCAGCATTGGATGATGACGAGGAAGAAAGCAAAGAAACATCAGAAGAAGATGTCTTTGAAATAGAGTTTGCCATGTACAAGAAACAGTACTATCGAGAAAAATTTGAGATTGAAAACATCCGTAGGTTAGTGGAAGTTTTTATCTTGAAAGTCTATCAGCTTTAGAAACAGGCATGTCGGAATTATGCGCGAAAAAAGTCAAAATTATGCGGAATTTTTTCCCCATATTATGCGGCGAAAAGGGTAAATTATGCGGGAAGTTATGCGGAATGAGGTTATCAGGAACGTAAACTTTGGGAAATTTTGGTACATTCTGGTACATTTGTGAAGCCCTCGAAAACAACTACATATTCGGAAAATTATAAGCATGTTTAGGAGCGTTTTTTATCAAAAAAACAGTCAAGGGACCACAAAAAACATTAGTAGAAGGCAATTCATCTTAACAAATGGTATAACATGGAAAAAACTCATGGATTATGCGCAATTATGCGCGATTTGGTAAATTATGCAGAAAGGGGGCAATTATGCGTGTCCGCATCTGCTCATAATTCCGACATGCCTGTAGAAAATAATACTGACAATGTAATAAGTAAATTTTTGTAATATGTATATTTTTTTCAGTGACCAGCTCTCTACATTTGTTTGGGAGTACATCAGAGGGATCCAGTGGATACTTCATTATTACTTCAATGGCGTGCAGTCTTGGGGATGGTAAGTCATGTCTGTTCTATAATTATGTTTTGTAAAATGTAAACCACCTCAAATAATGGACAGAAAAACTTATGAACAACGTAGCTCCAAAACAAACAAGTTTTACAGTGYGTAGATACAGGATTATTTTGACATTGAACTGTGCTGGGGACCCCTCGGAAGGAATTTGAAAACACTCAACTGATTGATGTGTATTATTGTTACTATTCAAGTTTTGAGTCGCATTGTTTCTCGTTTTACACTTTGTCTTAGCACTGGTAACTTGCTCTGTTAACAAAACAGGTCACGAAAAATGAGCAACATTATTATGTTCACGGCTAACTGCTAGCTGCAGAAATGACCACGTGACCTGCTTTTTTGGGGGGTTTGCCGTTACAGTTTCAACGTGAGATTAGGTTATTTTGGAGTTGCCATAATCGTAAAAAAGTCGCTCTTTCAAATGACTACCAAAAGCAAAAGGTCAGGCACGAAATTCTTAGGTCATTGGTTCAGCTCTGCCGTTAGCCGTTTGCCGTTAACGTGATGCTTTTAAGCATCAAAAAAAAAATATATATAAAAACTTGATGCTTTTAAGTTTAACAACAACTTTTGACAAGATAGTGTAATGGCGGAGTTATTTGAGTTATTGTTTATATATGTCCAAGTAAACTTGTCAACAAAAAATCCCGTGAGTTTTTATGATTTCTAATGTTTGGTTTCCTTGTAGGTATTACCCTTACCACTATGCACCATTCCTATCAGACTTGACAGATTTCTCTCACTACCAACTTGACTTTGACATGGGGAAACCGTTTCTGCCTTTTGAACAGCTATTAGCAGTTCTTCCTGCGGCTAGTAAACAGCTTCTACCAGCACCACTACAGGTAGYACTTCATTTTTATAGCAAAACCTTGAGAAATTGTTTGGGAGTTTAGATATGATTTATGTTGATGCTGAAAGAAAAGAAAAAGAAAGGGAAAGAAGTGGAACCAAGTGAATACAGTACAAGATTGGAACTATGAAATTARAAAATGCTGCCGTTTTTGCTTCAAAATTTAAAACTTACAAAAGTAACGTACTAGGAGAATAGCCGAAGTTCAGTATAAAAAAGAAATGAAATCAAGGTTGAATGAACAACGACAGTCTATGCAGCTGATGGTCTTTGGATACATGCCGAAATACACAAACTACATATAGTTAAATAGTTCTCTTTCTGAGTTATTTTTCATAAATTTTCTTTTAATTTAGAATTTGATGATCATGGAAGAGTCGCCAATCATAGAGTACTACCCTCTGAACTTTAAGACTGACTTGAATGGGAAGCAGCAAGAGTGGGAAGCTGTGGTCCTCATTCCATTCATAGATCAGGTTAGACTTTGGGGAATAAACMCTTTTAGCGATCTSTTTTACGCTGTGTTAGCCTCAAAACCATGTAATAAATTCTTTTGTTCACTGTCAGTCCGTGCAAATGCAAGAGATCCGTGAGTATAGAAKACAATGGGAATAGTTTGAAATTTCACGAGTTTTATCTACATTTCTGAATATTTCTGCAAACAGTTGAGGCTAACACAGCGTAAAAGAGATCGTGAAACTCAACKATTATTTAGACATGGCAATCTGTTGCTGACTCTCCAATCAGCCTTGCCTACCATTCATTTTATTCGTTTTGTCCCTTTTTTGCGAAAATGGTTTGAACTATCAGTAAACTAGTGTGAGCTGCATCGGTGTTTCTAAAGAAACAGTTTCAATTTATCTTAAAAAAAACTGCTTTTTTTGTGTGTGTAGAAAATGTTGCTGGATGCAATGACACCGCTGTACCCAAGACTTACCAAAGAGGAAAAACAAAGAAACACCCACGGTCCCTTCGTGGTGTACAGTTTTGATAATGAAGTGTCTTTTGCATACCCATCACCACTGCCTGGAGCGTTTCCTGATATATCACTTTGTCAAGCAAAGTAAGAACTCTTCTACCCTGGTTCCAGAGGTTTGATATTTTCTCTCTTCGCTATTGTTTTTGTCGGCGCCGTAATCGAGGCCGTTCGCTCGGCCTTACAAAAACAATAGCGAAGAGAGAAAATATCAAACCACTGGAACCAAGGTAGATCTCGTCAGTTGACCTCAACGATGTGCAGTTGTCTCATATAAAGTTTTTCTTCCTTTGCAGATGTGAACAGTTTGACAGAGATGCCCTTGTTACTCCCAAAGAAAAGTTAAAGAAAGGTAGATACATTAAAGAACATCACATGTTTGATATAATATTTCTTACAGCCGGTTTATACTAGTTAGAGAGTTTTAGATTCACGTTAACTGCAAACTCTAAATCGCGAAAGGGCGAAGCGTTAATACCAAAAAAAAAAAAAACAGTGATCACGTGATCAGTTTTGACGTTTGGCGTTCACCATAAACGCGCATTTKAAACTCTCTAATAGCTTCCTCCGAAGACATCTCCATGCCAAAGGGATCCCAAAAGAGCAAAGTTGGCTTCAGAGGAGGATAGAGTTGATATTTGTTTTCGTTTCTCAGGGTTGTGTGAGGATGTTCGACTTGATGTGTATTTCCCAGGGTTCCCAACTCTGTATCACATTGACCACACTGTAAGTAGAATAATTTAGAATAATAAGCTCACCGCGTTTTCAAGCCCTGTATGGTCAAGTCTTTAGACCTTCATTTCCTTCTAAGAAGGGCAGCTGTGATTGGCTAAATAGCACAATTCAGTTATCATAAAGTCAAGTTGCGTGATAGAGTGGTTTTCATTAACCCGTGAAACACACTTTAGCGTATTTATCGCTATCACACTTTGGCTCTTTCGTTTTGTCTCTACGCGACTATTACGATCTATTACACTCTAATTATTACACTTTGTTTCACGGGTTTATGAAAACATGCACTCTACAATGAAAATGCTTTTGTGTTGATATTAGGCTGAATTAAAGAAAGCTAATGTCAAAGTGTTCCAAATGCATTCAAGATGGGAAAGTATAGTATTAAAGCTTACTCCTCATCCAGAAAAGGTCAGTCTTATGTTATGGAATTATTTATTTCCTTATTCTTAGCAAAGGGATTAATAGTAAGTATAACTGAAATACGATTTTTGATAAGCATTTTAAAAATCATATTGGTTTTCGCTTCATATTGAACGGACACCCTCGGGRCCGTAATTTAGTGCCCACAGTAGCGAGAATCTGTAGTAACGAGAGTTACTTTCAGTCATTTCTTTGTATTTTTTCGCCGGCGATTAAGTATTTTGCTGTCCGTAATATGGAGGTGTCCGTTGTGGCACGGTGTCCGTAAGGCGAGAGTTGACTGTATTTTCAGCTCAAAAGGCAATGGCGTTTTGTACAACAAAGCACTGGTGGGAATTGTGCTCCTAGCACTTTTATAGCCCTTAAAAATATATCTAAAAGACTTTTCTGTATTTTATGAATATAAATGTGAATCAAATGCTATTTTTGAAATGAAAATTAGTGCAAAAGGTGCCTATTGGAAAGTTTTGTTTAGCGGAGATGAAAAACTTTGAGGACTGCAACACCCAACATGCATTGTTGCAATACTGTACTACAAAAACCGATGTCCATTCAACTTCCACATAAGTTTTACTTACCCTAGTTGTTCTTCACGTTCAATGCTAAGAATAAATATGTTGTTTTGCTCCAGGACACTCATAAAGTTGCCCAAGATTTCTTGAATGAAGTGTGCTATGTCGGCTGGCCGCACATGGTAGAAGCCATGATCACTTCTGTATCTGACAACACGTTTAGGTTAGTGTCTTTACCGCACTTGAKAATGTTTAATGTATGCATGACATGGGAACAAAGGAAAGTTCTAGTGACAGACTCGTACCCAGTCGCTTTTTTTGCTCGTTTAACGGTTCGCGTTGCATCAAGGGAAGTCCGAACAGTGAAAACGAATATTAAGGACTGGGTAGGATATTGTTCTAGTGCTTACAAGGAAATTATTCAGGGCGAAAGAACATTGCACCTCTATGTCCTAATATTCATATTTCTATACATTCACATTAAGGCAACCTAACATCTTTTTTACTCCGACCTGCTCCAAGTCGAGCTTATAGCTCAGCTGGTAGAGCATCGGTAGTGCAAATCYGTGGGTCGTGGGTTCGAATCCCAGCGAGGTCGGAAATTCGTTTTTCCGAATTTATTTCTAAGGGTCGTTCTCCCTGAATAACTTTACTTTATTTATTTTTCCTTTTTTTTTTTCCTTTATTTATTTCCTTTATTTAATTTTTTTTTATTTATGTTATCTCATAGTGATACAGCCTTTTGCAAAAATTATGAGAATTGTCGAAATATCTAAATATCATAATATCGAGTGCATGATGGGTAACCCGCGCGATGCCCTTAGTCCCTTGTCTTTGTAGTTTAGTTGGTTTTTTTTTGGCGACAGACTTATCCGTAGTTCTGAACATTTTCTCGATGTAAACAATGAATTATTCTAGTAAACCCCCGTGTTCCGGACAATATGTGGATATGGATATTATGATATTTAGATATTTGGACAATTCTCATAATTTTTGCAAAAGGCTGTATGCGACCGTATTCTCATATTCATATATCTTCAGTGTAACCATGTTTGGTTACCATTTGCTAATCGCTTTATTCTAGGATCATTTTGTAATGTTCTTGTTGTTTGAACTGTAGCTACACAATACACACGGATAAACCAAAGACTGAGAATGGCGAAAAAATTATCAACCAGAAAGTACTTACAGACGAAGAACTAGCAATATTCAACAAGAAAGTGTGGAGTCATACTCAATAGTAAGTATTACAAGTTAATTAAAAGACAACTATTTCAAAAGTCCGAATTACTATGTATTTATTGACTGAGTGGGAGGGCCGTACGGGAAAATATTTGGCTCGAGGTTATGCC